GAAGTTCCTTATGGACTTTGCTTTCTTTTGATAATTACATGCTGTAAAGAACATGTATATTATGCACAATGAAATCACAAGAACGTGATGTATCTGATAAAATATTGAGGTTGTATAATGGGCTGGAACACTCATCCCTAGACTTCCCCAGCACACACACACACACACACACTAACTCCTCAGAGTTGGTAATACATGTGTCTGAGGAGTCCAGGGATGGTAGTTTGATCTCAACATACAGCCTCAATATTTTCTAATACTGTATATGATATGTTGGTACAGTAGTAGGCCAGAGTCACCTTGGCCAGCAGTGCACTACTAAAGTGAAGGACAGGAAACCCACTTTTCCTCATTTACTGGTTTTCACAGCTAACGTGACAACGAACTTCATTTGGGAGTCTGTATTATTTCCCATTCCTTTTAAATGCACATTACAACCTTTTAGTCTTTTTCAAGTTTTCTTTTCACAACTGTATATGCTTGAACACTCCACATTCATACAATGTACATATTGTTGTTTTTAGTATATATATATTAAATGCTACAATTACACTGCTCAGTTTTTGACATTTAAAGGCCTAGGAAAAGCTACACTCTAACAAAATGTGGATTTCTTTTGTGTGTTGTGGATACTAGAAATGGTTATAGCCTACCTCTTGTAATTTTCTGGAAGGGTACCATCCACCACGGCAGTACAATCCCACCGCTGACCACATGATAATCACGCGGTCAAAGAAGACGCCTTTATCACAATAATCACTGTGATATAGGCGTCATCTTACAGAGCTCTACAACATATGCTCGAAATGTTCTGCATATTAAATGGCTTTAGGCCTTGTACTTGCCTCACCTATGAATCTTACAATCGTCTCATATCCTATGTTTGTATGTAATTTTGTTTAAATAAAAATTATTATTACAGGTACTGTATTATTATTATTATTATCATTATTACTATTATTACATATAGTATAATAAAATGGCATGGCTATAATATCAGAGCTGCAATCTTATAATGGCAACTAACTTGATAAGAAACTTTCATAAGAAAATATAAATCTTGTAAAGATGCAGTAAATATATAATTCTGAAATTATTTAAGAAGCTATACATTCCATGTGATAAACATAATTTCATGTTTTAAAGATGGCCAGTGCGATGATAAATTGCCTTTGTTTATATTGATCTAGTGTTGGCTGCTGCTAGGATAAAACATGGCAAGGTTAAAACACAAAAAGAGTATTTAACAGATGGCTATCAAAAGCAGCAAGTTTAGTGTTTTTCTCGGTGCATGTAAAGGTTTTCTGCACAAATGTCTTACCACTGCAATACCTGTATATCAAAAGATGACCCAACACTTAAAAGTATCAACAGTTATATTAACCAAATATGAATAGCCTTCCAGGCCTTTACATTAACATGCACAAATATCAATAGGTCTATAGAAAACACTTATAAATATATATACAGTAGAACCTTGAGTGACGACCGCCTCAATTGGCGAGCATTTTGGGTAACGAGAGCCCAGATCGTCGACAATTCATCTCGTATGGCGAGCGCTCGTTTGAATGACGACAACACCACACGGTGCGGTTGCTCTCCGACTCGCACATTCTCGGACACCATCGACGATGCAAATACAGTAAAAAAAATTTTTTTTTTTAAAGATGCTAATGATGCTGGGATATAAAAGGGTGACAGCTGTGATGTTGCAAAGCATTGACTTTTTTGTAAAAAAAAAAAAAAAAAAATGAAATTTTTTGAAAAACAACAAATGTCAAAAAGGTTTGTTCGGTGTTCGGCAGGTAGGCTACTCCATGTTTCTTAAATAAAAAAAAAAAAAACTAAAAATAATAAAAACAGTTGAAACAATTTGGAAAACAGTCAAATGCCATAAAGGTTTGTTCAGTGTTTGTCGGGTAGGCTCCTCCAATATTGAGACATAAATGAAAAATACAAAACAAATGGAACACATTTGAAACAAAGAAAGATTGTCATAATGATTGTCATATTCATAGTGAGGCCTACCTGACAAACACTGAACGAACCTTTACGGCATTTGTCCGGTTTTCAAATTGTTTCAGTTTTTTTATTTTTTTTATTTAAGAAACATGGAGCAGCCTACCTGCCGAACACCGAACGAACCTTTTTGACATTTGTTCTGTTTTTCAAAATTCTTCATTTTTTTTATTTATTTTTTATTTAAGAAATATGGAGCAGCCTACCTGCCATCGAGGTTCCACTGTATTTAGTATGTATGTATATATATTTACATATGTGTGTGTGTGTGTATGTGTAGGTATGTATGTGTGTGTGTATATATATATATATATCTCAGACTAAGACGATGGCACAGCTAAACATATATAATATAAAAATTTACCTTTCCTACGGAGAGGTCTCATTTTCGAGAGGACTACCCAAGTTGCTCAACAACTGGGTAACTACACCATGTAATACTAATATATTTAGGCTTGTGTTAAATTTAAGAGATTCTGACAAAGCTGTTTTACAGTCTAAAAGCTTTCTCCTACAATATTTAAAAAAATATTATAGTCACATGTATTCTCCTTGAGAATTAAAATAAAAGAAATAGGAAATAGATCCTATTTACAGTAGGATCTAGTAGGACTGTACAACAAAATCAATGAAATAGATCCATTCTGTTTTCTTATACATCATGAAAAGCAAGAGAGTATACTCCAGATTGAAGAGGTAAACATAGTTCAAGTTTACTCAACTAGTTTTCAGCAAAACTTATGTTTTGAAACTTGTTTTTAATACAGTACATGTACAGTACGGCTCATCAGCAATGACAACACATGCACAATAACACATACAAAATACACTGCACAACATACTGAATTTGGACAATTCCATCACGAGAAGTCAAATGAACATTTTGTCCAGAAATATTGTAATGGCCAGTTTTTAAGAATACAAGACATCATTCATTACTACAAAAGGATATAATTACTTGGATAATTACTTTATAAAGACAAATAAGTTAGGTGATTATTTGTAGACCACTCATTAATGTTTCTCTGAAAATACAATACTTTTATCTATACATTGTTACTGTACAGCTATGCCATAATTAGTAAATAATGCTTTACAATGACTTAAGGGTGAAAACAACAGAGGACTAGTAACATTAAGCAATGCAAGGCGATATAAAGATTTGACACCAAAATGGGGATATTTAAAAAAAATTCTCTGTAAATGTTGGTTACTTTGTACTTAAAAGTCATTATATTTGTCTCACTTATGTCTTACTTATAAAGCAATAATACATTGACAGATGTCTTGAGGCAAGACAGTCGAGCAAATCAATATAAAAGATAACTACCGGTAATTATACAAAATTGCTTTAGTTAATGAACTTACATGTTTGGCCATTTTGAACTTTACAATGTAAGGTTTTATTGATGGTGCACAAAGACATCAACAACCGAGCGCCAATGTGTGTCAATGACAACACCAAGCACCAGTTTGACTGAGTGGACGACACCAAGCACCAGTGTGCATGTGTGGATTATACTGAGCACCAGTGTGTGTGTATGTGTGTGTGAGTGTGTGGATGATGTCAAGCACCAGTATGTGGACAACACCAAGCACAGCATATGTGTGTGTGTGTGTACAATGATGTTGAAAGCAAACGAATGAATGCAGGCAACAACGAATGCACATAACAAAGAACGAATGCAACAATGACAGAACAAATGAATGAACGCAACAACGAACGAACAAATAAGAGAGAGAGACGGAAAAAAACAGAAACAGAGACAGACAGACACAGACACAGGTCAAGCAGCTCTGAGGCAAGCCGCATCACTGCTTTGAGCACCTCTACAACAGAACTTGTCCTTGAAGATTAGCCAAGCATTCTGGCAAAAGTTAACAAGCTACAGGTGACATTTAACGACTTCTAACACCAGTATATATTTCTTACACATTCTACCAGCTGTAAAACTGTCTATGTAGCTCACAGCTACATAAATTAGAACATAATAAATACCAAGCGGAATTAAATAAAGCCCAAACTGGTTCACAGACAGACACATACACACAAAAAAGGCTTTCGACAAAGTTTCACATAAGAGGTTGTTCTGGAAACTGGAGCATATTGTAGGAGTGACAGGGAGGCTTCTAACATGGATGAAAAATGTTCCAACTGCAGAAAGATGCATGCAGTAATCATAGGCAATGTATTAGACTGGAGAAGTGTCACAAGTGAAGTACCACAGGGTTCAGTTCTTGAACCAGTAATGTTTATTGTCTACATAAACGATCTACCAGAGGGAATACAGAATTATATGAACATGTTTGCTGATGATGCTAAGATAATTGGGAAGATAAGAAACTTAGATGATTGTCATGCCCTACAAGAAGACCTGGACAAAATAAGTGCATGGAACACCACTTGGCAAATGGAATTTAATGTGAATAAATGCCATGTTATGGAATGTGGAATAGGAGAAAATAAACCCCACACAACCTAAAAATTATGTAAGAAATCATTGAATAATTGAGAAAGTCATTGAGAAAGCAATGAAGAATTCTGATAAAGGAGATCGAGGCATGGTTCTAGATTGAAAACCATCACCTGTGGACCACATAAAGAACATCGTGTGAGGATCCTATGCTATGATATGATTACCATTTACAAAATACTAACAGGAATTGACCAAATTGACAGAGGAATGCCTGAAACCAGCAACTTCACGAACAAGAGGACACCGATCCAAGCTAAGGAAAGGTGCCCAAAAAAATGAGAAAGTTTTCTTTTGCAAACAGAGTGGTAGACAATTGGAAGAAGCTAAATGAGAAGGAGTCCAAAACCATCAGTAGTTTCAAAGCGTTATACGACAAAGAGTACTGGGAAGATGGGACACCAGAGCGTACCTCTCATGCTATAACTACACTTAGGTACATGCTATAACTACACACACACACACACACACACAACACCGAGCATCAGTGTACAAGTTAGGTAGCAATTTCTCAGGTTTTCAGTACTAGTACTGCCAAAAATGACCGTACTACACCACTACAGAAACACTAATAAAAGCTATTTATAGTACAAAACCAAAAAGTTTCCATGAAAAAAAATATGAACATTATCTCAATATGTTGATGGGTACATATTGCAGACTAGCAAAGGTACAGCAACTTACTAGCTGATGATAATATTGTCAATACTAGTTTTAAAAGGAAAAGATAAATACTGTATACCAAGAAATAAAATATATAAAAAATAAAATTAAACCATTATTTATGTGATTTTGAATCATAATATTATGCCTTATACATAATACAGTACATAGAAATTTAATGACTTATACACAAGTGCATGTGTTCTATACAAAATTGATACAATTATCAATTATCCAAACAAGGTAACTGTGTATTAATTTACCGTACCTCTGAGTAAAACAGGCCGAGCAAAACATCAGCGAGTGATCAAAACAGATGTATGTGGCTGGATACTGACCTTGCTAATATCCCATGACCATTTCCTCTACCAAGATTTACAGTATAATACTTGTAATATACCACAAAGCTTACACAGGAAACATGTCAACCATTGTTGGGGTACCGATTGTACTAGTACACATGTATACTAATATACTGTACTGTATATCGGTATACCAGTTAGATACAATTATGAATACAACGCTAATATTCCAACCAGCACCTAGAAAATACTTACACTAACATAACAGTTATGTACATAACACACCTAATGAGCAAATGTGACGCACACACCACTAACCTCAGCAAACCTCCCTTGGCACAGGGATGTCGGAATGTTCAAAGTATTCAATGATGGCTTGAACACTGGCGTATGTTCCTGTGATGAAACATACGATTCCAAATGTGAAGATGATAAAACACTTGATTATAGTCAGTTTCGTTACTCTGGAAAAAATGAATCATTGTAAGTGACATATCTAATTTCATACCTATCCTCATACATATTCAAAATTATATTATTGTGCAATGCTGCACAAATTAGTATAATACTGTACATGCTTGTAAATGTATGAATCTTTTTTTTTTTTTAGAAAAGTTTCCATATGTTTTTATGCTGTTTGGATAAAAATGCCACTAAAATGCAGGCGATGAGTCACAATAACGTGGCTGAAGCAGTTTGACCAGACCACACACTAGAAGGTGAAGGGACGACGACGTCCCTTGCTAAATGAGGAGGAGTCCAAAACCGTCAATAGTTTCAAAGCATTATACGACAAAGAGTACTGGGAAGAAGAAGTACTGCATGCAAAAAAATATGCTAATGCAGGAGAAGACTTTTAGTTGAAAATACTATATGCATAAGAAACTTCCATACACTACCTATAAGTGGTCTGAAAAAAAAAAAGAGAGTTGGTATAAAAAAATAACAATCCATTCAATCCTTACCGTGGCCAAAATGTAACCATTTCAATAATTGGAGGAAAGATGATTGCTAATGTTGACGATGAAACTGCACCCACTAGTGAGATGAAGAGTCCAATGTTGGGAATGGCTGCTGCTAGAATAACTGAAAAATAAAATGAGTTCAAATTTATATTACAAGATACATGTTCTGGGCAGATCATTCAGCATCCTTTAAGGATTTACAGTACTGTGTTCACGACACAAAATTATGCACTGCCTATAGGCAAACATTCTAGGACAGTCACCACAGTAAATGTTTAAAATAGTTCCATGCAACAGTAACATTAAGGTCCAAAGTTACCTTGGCATGTGTAAAATTTGACAAAGGCCTTAAACAATTGAGAAAGACAACTTACATGTAATCATCACCAGGAAGGCTCTGAACGCATACTCTCCAAGTAGTTTTCCTCGGGTTGAGTGAAACTTTGAACTCAAGTGAGGCCACATGATTTCAGCAGGAACATACAGCATAAGAGAATATGTAAGGTAGATTGCAAGTGCCATCAAAATCTTTACCAGTTGTGCCAAGCTGAAAAAAAAATATATATATATATATATATAAAATACTTTCACAAACACCTAACTTATATGTGCACTGTACACTGTATAAAACATACAAGACATAGCTAAAGTAAAACTTATAGAGGCATTAGTTAGCCGCATGTGTGACAGGATAGCGATTGGAAGTTCCGATCTGGATGAACACGGCAAAGGTCCATGGGAAAAAGAGGACGTGTTAATGTATATTTACATTGAGACAGCTTACAGAGAAGGCATATGAGAAAGAGTATAAGGCACACACAACATCTATGGACATAGAAAAGTCACAGCAGAACATGGGTAAGATGTATAATGAGTGATCAATTCTATATCAATATGTCAAGGTTGTGTGACGTCTCCCTGGTATTCAATACAGTACATACATGAGGTCATGAGGGAGGTGAAGGCATGAATGCCAGAAGGGTGTAACACCGGTGTATACTCCTAATATGTGTATATGGAATTTGTCCTAATTTGATGTACAATTCATTTGTTTTGCAAGTAAAATGTAGCTAAGTAGATTAATTGAAAATAAACCGAGGTGTGAGAGAAGACTATTCAAAGTGAATGTTGAAAATTAATGGAGGGAAAAGGCAATTGCATGTGTGTGAAACAAATATGAATGATGTGCCAAAAGTGATTGATCAGTTTAAATACCAATGTTGGATTTCTAAAAAAAGAAATTTGTGCAACCAAAGCTGTGAGTGGGGTCAGTCAGGGAATGACAGTGATTGTGGTAAAGAAAGGTTTGGTTTGGAAAAACAAGATAGCAATATGCAGGCGATGAGTCACAATAACGTGGCTGAAGAATGTTGACCAGACGACACAGAAGGTGAAGGGACGACGACGTTTTGGTCCGTCCTGGACCCTTCTCAAGTTCTCAAGTCGACCACAATCGACTTGAGAATGATCCAGGACGGACCGAAACATCGTTGTCCCTTCACCTTCTAGTGTGTGGTCTGGTCAAATCCTGTTTGGTAGCAGTCTTGGATGCTGTACAGAGAAAGGCTTATAACAACACACACACACACATTAATACTAATAAGAGGTTTAATGAGAAAAGCACTAGTGACACTTACTTATCACCTGGGGGAATATTTAATGTGATGGATCCATGCACTGCATCACCATATTTCAAGTATCCAAAGAAGCCCACTGCAATATAACTACAAGTGACTAGAACCATGGCTGTGTTAAGGACACCATTGCATCCACGAAAATCCTCTGGGTTTGTCATTTTCCTTTCTAGAGGAAGAACCTGAAGAAACAATAAACAAATATGATACAAATTGTCATACGTAAGAATCGATCATTATTATTACGATGAGATTTGATATGTCAAGCACAGTGATGGGACAGGCAGTCACTCACCTCTCCTCCTCATTCAAATCTATATATTTTAAAGAAACAAAGATATACTTAATGAGACACGACTAATATACAGATAAAAATAACCAGATATGGTTTAGTCGCATAATGGCAATCAAGAAAGGTATAACCAGACTGGTGTCTAAGGGTAAGAATGGGCTAGTGGTGTAAGGAATACATGCAGATGCAAAAACAGTAAGATGGAGTAACAAGTAGCATAAGCTGGTATTGTTTGCACCTAATGTTATCTTTGTAAAAGCCCTCCCTTCCCAGGATCTTGAAGACTATTCACAATAATTCACTATTCACATGTAAGTGTATTTTGCTTTGAATTCACAATGTTCAAGATGCAATAATCTCAGAAGAGCTAGAGATGTCTGTGAATGACATGTGGGTGTTGTTACAACTAATAAGCTGTATCAACTATCTAGCAAGTTGTAACAACTCTAACATGCCATAAAAACTTTATAACAAGATGTAATAACTTTTGTAACAAATTGTCACAAGGTAACAATAGGGACCATTATGTTGTGTGCTTGCAGGCAGGATGGGAGGGAGGAAGGGAGGGAGGAGAGTGAGAGCTATGATAATAATTAATTAATAATGGTGATGACATTGTTAAATTTTAGCTTGTATCATGTAAATCGTCAAAGTCTTGATAGAACAACATTAATCATCCTTACCACTCCAATGCCCTCAAATGCATAAATCGAAGTGCCAAGGAAGAGAGGTAGCTGTTTCCACGACTTAAATTCAGGTCGGTCATACGAAGAAGGAATATCTTGCAGTAAGTAACGGAATGTGATGGCAATTCCCAGGCCCAGGAAAACATTACTCACAAGAGAAAATGGCGCCAGCACCTGAAAACCACAACGTCGAATTTAAACACAATGCATGGCAATAATAAATACATAACCTAACCCTCAAATATAAAATGAAATAAAAGTAATGATTTTTCCCCTTGTTTTAGACTTTATCAAGTCATACCAGCCACATTACTGCGGCTTCTTCTCTGTATGCTGATGTTTAAAATAATTATCCTAAACCAATGTTTGCTAAGTACTTGTAGTGATAATAAAGATATTCCCATCCACTCTCCAGTTAAATATCTGCCTTATAATACAGGCAGTTTTATACAACAGAATAAAAATAAGTATCCAAGGATTAATTAATATTACATACATATTAGAGTACTGTACAGTCTACCTAATCACTATAAACACTGAACAATACAGGCACTTTATTTATCACTTGTTTAACCTACCTGTCTAGATCTTGAAAGTAAAGTAAAAGAAACAATCAATACAAAATCTTTGATCAATAAAGAAAATAATACTTTTATATCATTTGCAATAAGAGTTAACTTCATACATATACAGTAATTGTTGTTCATAAAACATTAAGCACGGCTTACCTTAAGAGAGCGGATCATAGATATACCTAATATAGGCAGGATCAAGATAGCCATGTATCCATGAATGTCAATGCCATTACCTGGGAGTTTACAGTCCACAACCTATTGCAAGAAACAAAAATAGAATAGGAATATCAACAATTAAATTAACATTATTCACCATTCATACAATTTTTTTAATTATGTTAATTGGTGGAAACAGCCTTGCATCCCATCTAATATTTAAGGGAACGAGACTGGACTCAGGGACACTGCTCTTTGTTACCCCATTAATAAATAACCAAGTACCACCTCACCCCCATGAAAGTGCAAAATGGTACTGTAGTATGATTGAACCATTAAAAGTGACTGACTGATTACAGTCAATTTTAGTCCCTTACCTGTTGAACATTAGCAGCTATGAAGACCACATACACACAACAGAATCCTAATTGTGTTATGGTTAGAAAGGTATTGAGGACTGATCGTGCCACTGGGGCTAATCCACGGAGGGAAGCTGGTCCTGTGGCGAAGGCATGATACCCAACATCAGCGTAGTCCATGCCACTTATACCCAATCTCTCTTTTAACTCATGTGCACACTGAACCTGTCGAGAGAGCACATGCCTTAAAATAAATGAAGATTTATTCTAATTTAAGATAGGCCTAAATCAGTTTCATAATGAACATTTACTCTAACCTAGGACAGGTCTAAATCAATTTTACAATACATACTATATAAGGAAAATTATAGCAAGTATAGTAACTAATTTTACCAGCAAGAATTTTTATATATAGCAATACATTATATTTTACAAGTGTATTATATTATACTTTTAAAACAATTATATTACACTTGTAATTTGTAACTTGTAAACATTACAAGTGACTACACTTGAATAATGCAAGTATTCTGGTATTATTCAAGTTTAATACCAGAATACCAAAATGGGGCACCTTCAACAAGCCGCTGGGTTCCTGTCCTCATTGAGGTCACTAGTGTTAATTCAAATTTAGAGGAGAATGCAGTGCTTGTTACATTAAATAATTAAACAATACATGTAAAGGGACATGAACCCTCTACATGAAAGCACGGTAACACAAAAAAATGTATTGTTCAGTTGTGGAAATGACAAGAAGTGTTGATGTACATTATTACCATGTATCAATTGTGATGGGTACGCCCCCTACTCAACGACTGTATGGGAGGTAGAAATAGCGTAAGCTACTCTATTACTTTGAGATCTATTTTATTGTCTTAATAAATGTACTTCAACCTGAACTACAACCGTGTCCAGTCCTCAGATTTCCTCATTACCAAGAGGCGGTGAACTTCCCGAGTTTACTTACCCGGTATATATTTATTATGGAAATTATTACTGGTAACTACCTCCCTTTTACTATAGCATAATATAGACTGATAGTGATAACTGATGATGATACACTACCATAATAGTATTTTAAAGATATCACTATCTTTAATCTCATTAACTTACACATCAAGCTTGTTTCTTAAAGTGTAATTGATATAAACATTTAAGGGAAGAGATATGTGATAACTTACCAGCATGTGCATACAGTGGATGCAGATAATAGATATAAGAGGCAAGAGACCAACACCAGTGTACAGACCAGAGTTCTTGAGACCATCTGGCATGGCCAGAATTCCTGTGCCAATATTTCCCTTTATCAAATGAATCAATGTTTCACAGTTTCTGGGGAGGAGAAAATAATTACAGTCAACACAAGAATAAGATAATAAAGCTCTCGCTCATGCACTCTCTCTCTCTCTCTCTCCTACAATATGATAGTGTTTCCATGACCCAAGGCTTATAACCAGCTTATAGTATAAGTACTGGCCATGGGTTACTCATGGCTAATAACAAATTACTATTCGCACTGCTTATAGGGTCCCGGGAGCACAATCGGGTTTGTTCTCAAGTTACAATTAGGTATTCCAGGTTTGATTCCCGGGCGAGACAAAAATGGATGGACACATTTCCTACAACCTAATGTACCTGTTCATCTAACAGTAAATAGGTGCCCAGAAGTTAGTCAGCATGTTGTAGGGTTGCATCCTGCGGGGAGTCTGTAATTTGACCTTGGAGGGGACCTCGATATAAGCCTAACATGTATATACACTGGCTGCCTATCTCCCAACACAATAAATTACTGTACTGTATTATGAATTAGAAGGAATAGAAGCTAAACTATTTTGGTCAAATAACTACTCTGAACATTTTATAGATATATAAATGACTAAATGATACAGTACTACTGAAATTTTATATTTCATGCTTTAAAAAAATAAGATAAAAAAATAAAAATTTATATATATACACCTGAATAAAATAAGCTACAAATAACAGAAGAAAAACAAACCTACGTAGTTTGTTGATGAGCATCATCAATATGGTGACCAGAGGCAGTGAGCCCCGAGTTGTGATCATCATCGACCACATCTGATCTGTTGTCATTACAACGCTGAGAAGCTTGCGTTCGTGCATGTTCCAGGTCAGGTTCGAGGGTGGGCAACAGAGGGCGGTTTTCTTGCGTACTCCCAGGCATACCTGAGCCTTCATGAAAAAATTACCATTTCACTCTTTGTACTGTAGTAGAAAATCAGCAAATATGCAAATACATTTATAGTAACAATGTCTTGAAAAATTAAGAGCACAGTAAAGGCAAGATTACACATACAGTTCTATACTGTATTTGAAAAGTTGTTTCTGGAAATACCCTGGTTTAAATGGGTAATCTAGTTAGCAAAAAGAGGGCAATATTAATGTCACTAATTCAGAGTAGAAGTGATATTAAATGTAAATGTAAGTTAACAACCACTGTTGAAATTATACTGATGATTACTCGACTGATGAAGATTATTGATTGATGAAGATTAAGCCACCCAAGAGGTGGCAAGGGCATGAATAGCCCGTAAATGATTACTCGCTTCTCAATTGTTTATATAATCGGACCACATCTCACCAAATAGGCTGGAAGGAGTGTTAACTGTAGTTAGGGAAGAGGTATGAGTTTTGTCATTAGTGGACTAAGTAGACTTAACAAACCCATCTCATTAAACTAATGAGAGTTTGGAGCGAGAATATTATTGATATAATATACTCACTAGTCTTTTTGTATAGGGATATAGTAAACAACAATCCATTCTGCAGCAATTTAAATTCTAATAAATTCGAGATATGTTATTTTTCGTTCTGTATACTAAACATTATTTTGCTTTTATATTATATTTAATAGAACACATGTTTCCGTAGACTTTGATAGTAACATTACTTAAACAATCCATAATGAGTGACCCAAACTCTTAAGAATTTTATCCCTATTGCAACGGGGATCTCTAAAAGTGGTCCTGTTTGGGTCCCTGTAGAACAGTTGGGGGTTCATTCTTGACCCACAAACGAGACTTTTGGTTTTGAATCCCGGGCGGGACAGAACTGGTTGGGTGTATTTCCTATCACCTAATGCACCTGTTCACCTAGCAGTAAGTAGGTACTCAGGAGTTAGTCAGCTTGTTGAGGGGTTGCATCCTGGGTAAGGTCAGTACTGTACTGTAATTCGATCTTGGAGGAGGATCTCGATATACAAGAGTTGTTACATTCTTGTACAGCCACTAGTACGCGTAGCGTTTCGGGCAAGTCCTTAATCCTATGGTCCCTGGAATACGATCCCCTGCCGCGAAGAATCGTTTTTTCATCCAAGTACACATTTTACTGTTGCGTTAAACAGAGGCTACAGTTAAGGAATTGCGCCCAGTAAATCCTCCCCGGCCAGGATACGAACCCATGACATAGCGCTCGCTCGCTATAAGTTTAATGTGTATGAAAACACCCTGGCTGCCTATCCCCTGTCACAATGAATTATTTTATTATTATATATCTAGTATATCTAGGGAAGATGGACCCATTGGCCAAAAAAATGTAAAACCATGTTTGCTAGAAATTGATTTGGCAAATCAATTTTAGAGTTCATTTCTTGAGTCCTTTATATGCCTCTGAAATCTTTTCCATTACACCCCATAGGATGGGAATTGGGTCTGCTACCACTCACAGGTGGGTAGGGTGTCCGTTACCACCCACAGGATGGGTATTGGAGGCATTAAAAATGTCATTATTAACCAAATTTTGTTCCCTTTTCTACTGTGCACCTCTATCATTCTTATTTGTAACTTGTTAAAGTATGCTATATTTTTAGTGGAAATAACGTAGCTGAGGAATCTCCTGGTTGGTAACTATGGCAGAGCAACTAACTTTCCTGGTTGGTAACTATGGTAGCATGACTCTCCTAGATGGTAACTATGGTAGCATGACTCTCCTAGATGGTAACTATGGTAGCATGACTCTCCTAGATGGTAACTATGGCAGTGACTCCTGGTTGGTAACTATGGCAGTGACTCTCCTGGTTGGTAACTATGGCAGAGCAACTCTTCTGGCGGGTAACTGTAGTAGTGACTTTCCTAGTTGTTAACTATGGCAGTGACTCTCCTGATTGGTTAATGTGGTAAATCAACTTTCCTGGTTAGTAACTATGGCAGTGACTCTCCTGGTTGGTAACTATGACAGTGACTCTCCTGGTTAGTAACTTTAACTCACTTTAACTCACACTGTATCTAGTGCTACCCAATCCCCCAAGATATGAACCTACGCCATATTACTTTACCATTGTAATCTTTGATATCATCTGATATCATGGTTGTTATATTGAGTGTATATTCTACTGCATTATTCCTCAAAATGATCCTCAAATTGTGCTACAGTGAACCGTTGTATAACCCTGATATTTTATCCTAATGTACCTAGTAATCCGTGTTCATTATAGTGTATTGTTATTATTGTGTATTAATCTAATCTTTGTTTATTGTGTCAACATTTCTTACAATGTGCCTGTAAACATTTTTTGTCAATTTTACTGTAATTTATCTACTTAAAATTACCTGTACCTGTAAAGCTGAAAAGTACTTGTAAACATTTTTTGTTAATTTTACTGTAAATTATCTACATAAAATTATCTGTTAGTTTAAGGACTTGCCCAAAATGCTATGCATGCTAGTGCATAGCATTTCATTCGTTCAGCATAGCATAAAATGCTATGCTGAACGAATATCCTGGTTGATGACTATCCTGGTGAACGAATATCCCAATTGATGACTATCCTGGTGAACGAATATCCCAATTGATGACTATCCTGGTGAACGAATATCCCAATTGATGACTATCCTGATGAACGAATATCCTGGTTGATGATTATCCTGGTGAACGCATATCCTGGGGTTGATGACTATCCCAGCTGGTGACTATTCTGGTTAATGCCTACCCTGGCTGACGACTATTCTACTTGACGACTATCCTGGCTGACGACTATCCCGGTTAACGACTATCCCGCTTGACAACTAACCTGGTTGACGACTGAGCTGTGACTAGTCAAGTCATATGACCCCGTAGACTGCACTTTAGAAGAATGAAAAAAAAAATAAAATAAAAAAAGCTGTCCTAGCTAGCACCTGAGACCACAGCCTCTCATAACACTCAAACACCTCTCATAATACTCATAAAATGCCCACTTACTCGTATATAACTGTGTGACGTTACGAGTCTTAGTCTTCCATCTGTTGTTATGGTGTGAGGTGTGAGAGGGGGCGGGTTGGCGTCTCGACTCGTGGCCATGGCTGCGGCCTAGGCTCCGGACCTCATGCTTCTCTCATCTCCCATAACCCCCGTAGTTGTATCTTACTCCTTCTATAGTCTTTGTTTGTCTATACTAAGCCTTGGCGACATATCAGAGCGGGTAAACACTGGTGAAGCAGTCTGTTGGGGATTGCTTGCGGCATTGACACAGGATTCGGAGAGTTACCGCCATAAAAAAAAAACTCGTGGAGTCTGGAGAAGTGAGTGAGGCTCAGGAGCTGGAGCTCGCACCATTGGCGTGAGTCTGGGGGGAGGAGGTACCCAGGGGCATGAGTCCGGGGTCATGAGTCGGGGACATGAGTCCCGGGGCATGAATCCAGGGGCATGAGTCCTGGGACATGAGTCCGGGGTCATGAGTCCAGACCGGGGGCATGAGTTTGGGGTCATGAGTCCAGAGGCATGAGTCCAGGGTCATGAATCCAGGGACATGAGCCCGGGGTCATGAGCCCATAGACAGGAACCATGAGTTATGGGAGTGATAACATGTATGTACTTAAGGCCCAAGAGACGTCGTGGTCCGTCGGCCTTGAACCTGTCCATGACAGGAAGATTTAGAAGTTTCATCGTTTTGATTTTCTTCATTTATTATAGACCCTCCACAGCTGCCTCGTATCCGCAGGGCAGGTTACCCGAGGTCCCCATCGTCTCTAGTGGCCTCGACGGGGCCAGGAACCCGGCGGTTTGTCAAAGGTAAGTATAGCTGATACAAATCACTACGTACGGGACTTGTCAAAGGTGCGACTTTGTATATGTGTATAATATACATTCTCTGTACCTACATTTAAACCATTGTAATATATATTTATATACAAGAGGGTACATTGGGTTTATAAGAGTACAGAGACTTGAAGTTTTACATTCTTGTAAAGCCATTAGCACGCATAGCCTTAATCTAACATATAATTTTAAGTAGGTAATTTCAGGCAAAATTAAAAATGTTTACAGGTACATTGTAAGAAAATACAAAAATACATTGTAAGAAGGTATAAAATTCAGTTCAGAAAGACAATGTTAATTAACATTAGCAGTAAAAATGATGGAAAGTTTCCTGACCTATACTTAGACAAGAGACTCAAATTCAGCACCCACATACAATACATAACCAAGATAGCTTCAAAAAAGGGTGGTATACTCTCTAAAATCAAATATTATGATATTTGTGGTTTTTAGTGAGTGAATGATGGGCACAACATCTGTAGGGCTGACTGGTGAAAGGAGAAAGTTTGGGTAGCTGCCTGAAAGATATGTGTTAACATGTGTCTGAGTCTGTGGGATTTTTCTGACAAGTTTAGCACCAACCGATGAAAAGAAGCTATTAAATTACGCTCTTGTATATATTTTATTAATACAGTTATTCAAAGCCTTGACAGTGATGGTGTACATTAGTCACGTCACGAACTACATCAAATTAAATAATAAATATGTACTTAATTGGACATGAAAGAAACGGCTGGGCTCGTTTTCTTTCACCTTTAGCCTATATTCACCTAGTAGTAAAATAGATACCCGGGAGTTAGGCAACTGCTGTGAGTTGCAATAATGGGAACTGCCATAGTTTGGAGCGCCGCTAAAGCAAGTCAATCTCCACCAGGTTGATTACGGGCTCACCATAGCCCGTGCTACCGGAATTGACTGTTCTGAGTAGCTGAATCTAAAACAACAACAACCACCAGATTGTGATAGTCTCCAGCAGACGTTTATATCTACAGACACAGATATCCTCGCACAAATTTCTAGATAGCGAGAATTACTATATATAGCCTTCTTGGCAACATATGCTTTTCGCATTTGTAAATATCTCCAGGTATTAAAGGATGTCGTCGTCCTTTCAACTTCTAGTGTGTGGTCTGGTCAACTTACTGGTCCCTTACTTCAATGTACTTGAAGATTATACACAAACGTGAACCTTTATTTTTGTACACCTTTAATTTAATTTTAAAAACTCCTTTTTTTATACAAGAGTTGTTACATTCTTGTACAGCCTCAAGCACGCATAGTGTTGCGGGCAAGTCTTTATAATTCTATGTTCCCTGGTATACGACCCGCTAAATCGATAAACAACCCCATTTTACTGCTGGGTAAACATGTGTTAAGAATTGTGTGTTAACATGTGTTAAGTTAAGAATTATTGGAATTTCGGTCCGCTGGACCATTCTCAAGTCGATTGTGTTAACACGCAGTAAATCTTCCCCGGCCAGGATACGAACCCAGGACAAAGCGCTCGCGAAACGCCAGGCGAGTGTCTTACCACTTCGCCACTACTTCATAACCTCTTTACTCCGTGTTGTTATTGTTTACATGTGTTGCTTGTCTTGGTGTTTACTAATTTAATTTATTAAAAAAAAAAACATGCTGAACGTCCTCAGTTATAAGTCCCGTCCTCATCAACAAGGGCCAATGTTCATTCCTTTAAAGGGTCCCGGTAGTACAGTCAGGTTCGTTCTGCTGCATGCCATAAAAGGATTAGCTGGTTTACGGGCTATTCATGCCCGTGCCACCTCTTGGGTGTCTTAATCTTCATCTGTTACATGGTGCCAGCTGACGGGAGACATCTCCCGTCACGCAGGGTGCAGTCGCACCTCCACAGATCTCCAGTATCAGCTCTTGATACTGGTAATGGCTCAAAAGGGCCACCACTTACAGGCTATTCATGCCCGTGCCACCTTTTGGGTGGCTTAGTCTTCATCAATCGGTGCCAGCTGCTGGAACACGATTAAAGTGTAGCAATTTTAATCGTTGACGAACACGGGCGGTGGAGTGGACTCTCCAATTTCTTGGCATCTGAATAACTTTTCTTTGAATGTTGTGTGGGTGCGTAGGCTAGCTTAATTACATAAGCAGGCAGGATACAAATGATCCCGGCTAGGGGTACATCTGTGCTGATTATGTCCACAACTGTTATCTTCAGCTTTATCATTTCGCGCGTCTGGTGCACTTAGGGTCCTGAATACCGAGTATTGAGTCACCTGGGTCTGATAATGTCCATCATTATTGTACTTCCAAGTTCCCGATCTCATTCTACAGGGAATTAAGATTTATTTTAGTTATTTCCCAGGATGCAACCAGCAACAGTTGCTTATTGTTGTTGTTTTAGATACAGCTACTCGGAGCAAAATTTCCATATATCACGGGCTAGTGAGCCCGTATTCAACAACAGTTGCTTAGCTCACGAGTCAACCCGTCCTCTTAAAAAGAACGTCACTTTTGGCTGGTATGCGCGATATGGCTAAATTTGGACGTAATTTGAAATGAAATCGACTCACAAAAGTGACGTTCTGTTCCGTTTTCTATTTGAGTCGTCCGCCTTACGCGCAGAGGTTATAAGAGGACACTTTAAATTCACGTTTTTCATAACGTTTTGAAACTTTATGAGAATTTCCTGCCCACCTAACCTATCAGAGGACCCTTAACTTACTGTTGTTGAAAAAAGAAATCCCAAATTTATTTTAATTTTTTTTTCATTTTCAAATTACGTCCAAATTCGGCCATACGGGCAAACGGCCAAAAGCGACGTTCTTTTTAAGAGGACAGGTTGCACGAGTACCTATATACTGCTAGGTGAACAGACGCATCAGATGTAAAAAAAAACGTTGCCAGTGATGCACCATACAACAGTGCACGATTCTGGGTATATTTTGGTTTACGATTCGTAAACTCAGCCTCACATTCAACTCATAGCCTAGTGGGCACACTATCCACGATTAACTGTGATTCAGCTTTGAATCAACATTACTCCTGGATATTGTGCCCACAGGGGGCCTGTTCCGCCATCTACGGAAAATATACCCTGTGACTAGTGCGCCAGCATTTGAGTATTAGTATAAAGACTGAAGCAGTGAGCAAAAACTTTTAGGCCGTATATCTATCACAAATGTCCAAGAAATGTCATGCCTTAACTCCTCACAAATGTCCAAGAAATGTCATGCCTTAACTCATTTCAAATGTTCAAGAAATATAAGGCCATAACTCCTCACAAATGTTCAAGAAATATAAGGCCATAACTCATCACAAATGTTCAAGAAATGTGTATTTCGTTAAAAATGACGTTCCACGAATCATAGACTGCCATTCAGTACACCCTAATTCATTTACATATATATCATCTACCCTACGCTTGAAACAATCAAATGATCCTACGCCCATCATGTTACCCGGTAATTTGTTTCACAGATTAACAACCCTGTTTCTAAACCAGTATTTATCCAGGTCTTTCCTAACTTAAATTATTCCATTTATATCCATATTCTTCAGTCAATTCTTGATGACTAGCTACAAGGGCTATGATTTCAGAAGGTGGGAATTATCTATTAAAACAAAATCACTAAATAAAAGACAATTAACAGAAAGTTAGACTGAGAATTTTAACGTACAAATATCAATACAAACCCGCTCATCAACTTTGATAACAGTTACGTCAGACGAGATGACGCCTGGACGTCTGGTAGGCCTTGCTTAATAGGCCTGAAATTTTGATACGTAATAAAGGAGTGTGTGTATGGTCTCCGAGTACCGAAGAAAGGTATGACAGTGGCCTTGATCAGCTAACTGGCAAGGCTCCACAGTTCTATGGTAAATAGGGGCCGGGTTCATTGAGACACGAGAAAAATATTTTGTTTACTGGGATCAACTGAAGGGTAATATTAACTTCAAAGTTACAGACTAAAACGGTGGCGACCGTAGCTGGTTCCTGCGCTAGTGGATCAACATCACAGTCCCTGTCCTACTGGATCAAGGTAAACAGCTAGGATCTAGACCACAGCTGGTTTCTATGCTCATGCAAGACCGCAGCTGGTCCCTATCCTA